GGGGTCAAAAATCGCCCCAAAAAGCGTGACGTAATTTGTGAACGGCCCCTTACGAGGACTTCTCAATCCTCGGCGCTATATGTTTTATGACAACTACGCCGTTCTGAGCATACATTAAATTATTAAAAGTACAGTTTGCAGTAATGGAAAAAGCTGTGACACTAATATTGCAAAAATATGACAGCCATTTTTTTTTTTCGGATGGGCCTGCGCTGCGCGCTGGTCCTGTCCGAGGCCCTTCCCCGCGGCCCTTGCCCGAGTGCCCGAGACCCTGCCCACCAGGCCCGCCCGGCATCCTTGCCCGACAGGCCGGTAGGCCGGTGTATGACGGATGGGTCGCAGGGAGGGTGTCCCCTGCGTGAGGGGTGTCGTGTCCCCGACCCGAGCCTGACGACGATGGCGTTCGGTTGCAGAGCCATGAGGGACAAGGCAGACGACAGCCTGGCGCCGCCGACGGCCCTCACCATCCCCGTCCCGGCGGCCCCGGGCCCCGACACCTCCAAGTTCATCATGAGGAAGAAGCCGCACACACTGCCTCCGCTAGAGAAGTTCCGGAGCCTGGTGAGTAGTCATAGCGCAGCAGCGGGTGTTTAGTGGGGCTGGGCCGGTGCCAGTGAGGAGGAGGGCTGACGGGGCTGACGGGAGCATAGCGAGGCGTGGTGGAGGGTCGGCCGTGCGCTTGACCTTGTGTCCAACAGCCGTCAATCGATATTATCGATACGACCGTCTGGCCGCGTTGTCATATGGAACGCCGTGAGAATCTAATCTTAATCTAATGCGGAGGGTGGCCCGGTGTCCCTCGCGGTGTCCCGGCCCCGCCCCATGACTCTCCGGGTGTCGTGCTCACCCCGCTGGCCTTGTTGCAGGAGGGCCGAGGCTCGCCCGTCCCCCAGGCGCGGCGGCGGTCGAGCATCGAGGAGCAGCTGCTGCAGGACGACGGGCAGGTGGGTCGCGAGGCTTGCCTTCGGGGTGGAAGGAGAGAACGGACAGAGCTTAACCGCGTGAACGTTGTTGCCCCTCAGGTGGTGTCCGCTGACGGGAGACCTCTCATCCGCCTCACCAAGTGCACCGACGACTCCGGGGGCGGCAGCGGCGGCGGGCTGCGTCTTCCGCTCCCGAAGCAGGGTGCCGCCTCCCCAGGCCCCGGCGCGCCACCTCAGCTGTCCCCGATCACCAACCGCTACACGCCGCTGCAGCCCATCCGGAGGGGCGGCGAGGGCGCCGGCGGCAACATCAACAACAATACTCCCTAGGAATAGAAGCAGACCCCATTGATTTCGCTTTATATGTTAAGCAGATACGCTGGTCGATGTAAAAAAAATCATATTGTCTATTTTATTCTTTTTATTGGATGCCCTTCGAGGATGAGTGTAAAATATATTTAGCTCAGCGATACTCTGTGCTCCTGGTGTTACTACCTCTGGAGCGTGGGGTATACGCGTACCCTGAAAGGATGGCGAGTGGGTGAGGCGCGCTTGTATTTTATAACCATGAAAATAATTTTTAATACATTTATCTTCCTCTTTCGTAACCGTAAGGCTTTGCTTGCGCCTGCGAACTAAGTAGAATTTGGTACCTCATTCCATTTCTAAAAATAATATATAAGCAGCCAAGAGTAATTCAAAAAGATTTTGAACGTTTGGTTAGTGCAAGACGGATAGTTATCTTAAAAGCACACATTTTTTTCAAACTTCCAAAGTTCTTTAAATGTAGCATTGTGTTCTCCTGAAAACCATTGAAAGTAGAGGGAATGGCTTCACCTTTATAGGAAATATTTCCATATTTCCCTTTCTTCTGACCCTGCCAATTTTCTTCTTGCACTTTTGTCTCATCTCATTATCAAAATGTAGCCAACAAATCATGTCGTGGAATAGTGTGTTTAAACAAAGAAACAATTTTTTCTTCCTACTCCTACTTTAATTGTTATTTAAAACCGTAATCCAGACACCACCCCTCAGGAAAACATTAATTTTGAAAATATAAGAAAGACCATGTAATAATATAAAGAATTGGTCATGA